TAGTGTTCAGGGTTGAGGGTTTAGTGTTCAGGGTTTAGGGTTTAGGGTTCAGGGTTGAGGGTTTAGGGTTTCGGGTATAGGGTTTGGGGTTTAGGGTTTCTATCCCCGAATATGTAATCCCGCAAGACCTGAGCCTCAAACAGCAGGTATTGACAAGTCCAAGCTGCTGGAGGCTGTCCGAGCCATGGGCAAGAAGAAGTCCAGCCCGGAGGTGCGAAGACTTTTGTTTCTGAATAACAGAAAAAAGATAGTCAATAAACGTGAAATTGGTAACAGTGATACTGGTAACACTAGCAGTTATGGTAATGATACTAATATTCTTAGCAATAGTAAACACATTAAGTAGTCATATAACCAATAGCATCGTTAGCAGTTAGTAGACATAGTAGCAATATATAGTAAGAAGAAAAAGGATGGTACGAAGAATACATCATATATCGTCACAATAACGGCAATTTCAATAATAGTCATAAGTTAGTTTCGTAACAGTAGTTGCAATAGTAATCATGATAATAATATAAATAACATGATACGTATAACTGATTGTGACCAATACTAAGAACAATAATGAAAATACTCATAGTACTGATATCAACGAAAAAGTAGGGAATGACAAGACTAATAAGTCACAATAAACAACAGAAAGAACAGTTAGACTAGTTTAACTGTATTAATGGTTGCAATGATAGATATACTGATATTAATGATCATATACGGCACTACTATTAAGACGAGCGATCGTAACAACCATAGTTCTGTGCGCAATCCAATTTTTCCTTGCTTTGCTTCCCCAGGCCGCGCAAAGCACCATCAATGGCACACAAACCATGCAGCCCGGTCCTTGCACAGGTGGGACATCAGATAGAAGATTTTGGCATTTTGGCATAACGCCGGCCATGAGATTCTAGGGTTTAGTTGTCGAAGGCATCAGTGACGCGCAGTTGCTGGAAGCCTGCCGGGCAGCGCTAGCGAAGCGCAAAGCTCGCGCGACGGAAGTCGCGCCGTGGCAACCTTCGGCCGCAACCTCGGTATGTTTGCCGATTCCGAAAGGGCGTGAAAACAAGAGGCATCTTTGCATCGACGCTGCTTGGGAGCCAGGTGCCGGCGGACGCCGTGGAGGAAGAAGCTCCCGTAGTGGAGGAAGCTGCCCTCCAGGAAGAAGCCCAAGACGAGAAAGCCATCCAAGAGGAGGACCGGGGCTGTGCTGTTTCGGCATGCCTTTCCGCACATGGCCGCTCGCAGGATGATGATGACAAAGAGTCTTGGGAAGCCTGGGCCAGCGACGACGAAACAGGCAGGACTTGTTGCGTTTTGGTCGCAACAGACTGCTTTTGCTTTTTGAAGGTAATTCGCTTTTGCTGCTGTAGGTGCAGATTGCGACCCTGGACCGACAGATTGCATCTGCATGACTGGAACACCTGCGGGGATGCACGAAATGGTAATGCTCCTCGGCTGTCAGAGTATCTGCGGAGGCTGCATCTTGTCCCAAAGGCCCGAAAAGCCTCAACCCTCTAAACCCTGGTAAGCCTCGAAGCCCTTCTAAGCCCTCAAGCCCGAGACCCTGGACCGCGAAACCCTAAACCCTAAACCCTAAACCCTAGACCCTAAACCCTAAACCCTAAACCCTAGACCCTAAACCCTAAACCCTAAGCCCTAAATCCGGCATCCAAGGCAGATGTGGTTCAAGCCACATGGACAAGTCCGGGAATTCCGAGCATTGACCCCCGCAGAGACGGGCCTGGACAAGTCGATGCCCCATACGAGTCATCGCGAAAGCTTTACTACATCCTTCCACAAAACATGTACATATGTCATATATATATATATACACATGTATATATATATATATGTACACACATACATACATTCTACATATATATATATATATGTATGTATGTATGTATATGCGTGTATAGATGTATGTACATACGTGTTAACATGTACATGCACACTTAATCCTGAGTATCTTGGTATGCCAAACTGTATGTATGCACACATGAGATTGTCCGTATACTTTGTTCAAGGTCTAGAGGTGACCTAGCTTGTGTTCAAGTTGTGCATATCTGCATATGTATACATATACATATACATACATACATACATACATACATACATACATACATACATACATACATACATACATATATATATATATACCCGTAGTCTCCATTGTAGTTCCTTGTTTCGCTTTTAGCCAATTTAGTTCGCGGATCCTGTCAGGCAGCCCCAAACAGGAGCTACAATGGAACATACCGGTAATTTGCACTTTCATAGCACGTCTTGGGGATTAAATCATCACAGAGGCCTGCCTTCCTTGTACAGATGGGCAGCACAGAAGAAGCCGCAGCAGCCGGGAGCCCGGCACAGTACTTCTTTGGCTCGGTGAAGACGGCGGCAAGTATTCTGCAGGCCCTCTCGTCATTGAATGGCAAGGCCATCATGCCACTTCGACTGCACTTGGGATTTATGGGGTTGATCTTTCAGTGGTGGATGCCATGTAGCGCTGTTTTCAGCAGCTGCGAGGAAGGGCCAGCAGCTCGTCCTCGAATATTGGCGCGGAGGCTGCGGTCGGAGCGATCATAAACTTGAAATGTAGCTCCTAGGTATGTGCCACATTTTGCAAGTTGTTCTTATCTTGATCATCGCAATGCTGCGCGTCCGTAAAAGCCTCGGTCTTTGCAATTGCTAGACTTCGCTGGTCGGCGATACATCCAAGGTAGGAATCGTTCGGTGTTTCTGCGTTGAAGGTTATGCCCCCTAAACCCTAAACCTCTAAACCCTTAAACCCTAAACCCAAAGCATGCCCACAGATTTCTGATTTCGTTGTCCGGCTAAGAGCTGTGCTACAGGGCCGACAAGTAGCCTCTGTTGCCTGCTATCCGCGGCCCTAAGCGCGGGGTGTCAGCCGGGTGACATCCCCAATCCCGATAAACTAACTCCATTACATCATACTGCCCCCATGCGATTTACTACACGATGTTGTGCCGTATTCTGCGATGTTGCGCCATCATTTTGCAGTCGATGCAGCGCCTTTGGACAGGCAAGTGAGACCCACGAAAGCCGGTCTCACTCGTTGTCCAGCTCCTTGCGCACTTCGAAGCGCCAAAGGGCAATACTAGGCTTCGCCAAAGAGCGAAGGGCCGGGAGGGACAAAGCGTCGATTGAGGAACGGGCTCCGCAAGCTCCAAAACAGAGTAGACAGAATTACAGGCTCGTATAGTTTGTGGGGCTCGGGTTTGGCATGGGGCTTACTTAGGGCTGCCGAAGTACCAAGACTGCATACAGCGCTCCGGCACCCAAGATCGCTGAGCGAATCCGACAGCTGCTCCAACGTGCTTTGTTGATGAACTGGCAGAGCATAATATAGGGGCCTTAATAATTGGTAGCAGGCGCACAGGTTGCCCTGTGGGCGTGTGCGTTTTAGGATTCATAAGGGGGGGGGGGGGGTGGGGGGAGGGCTTAATAGCGTCCGGCCGTCGCATATCCTCTCGAGCGGGCAGTTAATGCCTGGCGGCGATGGGTTGAC